AGCCGGGCAGAGGTGGTGCTGAGGGCCAGGGTTTGGGGGTGGGATGGCAGGGGTAGGGGAGCGGTTGGGCTGGGGGAGCTGAAAGGGCTTTGCCAACCTCAACGATTCTGTGATTCTACGGTTCTATGATTCTAAGATTCTCTTTGCCTTCCCCTTCCTCTTGCTCCTGCTCCAGTGGTCATCCCAGTTTTCTCCGGGAGGTGTGGGGTCTGTGGCAGCATGGGCACGGCTTCTGACCATGGCTCTCCTTGCTTTCAGGTGACCTTCACCAAGCGCAAGTTCGGCTTGATGAAGAAAGCCTACGAGCTGAGCGTCCTGTGCGACTGCGAGATTGCCCTGATCATCTTCAACCACTCCAACAAGCTGTTCCAGTATGCCAGCACCGACATGGACAAGGTGCTGCTCAAGTACACCGAGTACAACGAGCCTCATGAGAGCCGGACCAACGCGGACATCATCGAGGTGAGGCTACCTGTCCTCTCCTGGGCTTTGCCGCTGTGGTGGAGACAGGGCCGGGTCGGTGCAGGGTGGGGATGGGAGCGAGCAGATCTCCAACACTCGGTGCCGACATTTGCATCTTTCTCATCCAGCCTACAAAAATACTCAGTTCTGGGCGGTAGAGTTGGAAGCCATCTGGAGTTATGTGTTGACCTACTGCTGTAAAATTGAGGTGCAGGTTTGCTTTGTGGGACTTCAGGTTGGCCATGGGGAACAATTCCTTCCCCTTGGGGCTGTCAGGCACTGGAAGGGGCTGCCTAGGGAAGGGGTCGAGTCCCCAGCCCTGGGGGGGATTTAACAGCTGGGCAGAGGCGGTGCTGAGGGCCAGGGTTTGGGGGTGGGATGGCAGGGGTAGGGGAACGGTTGGGCTTGGTGATCTCTAAGGGCTTTTCCAACCCAAACGATTCCATGATTCTCTGACTTCCCCATGGTCCAGGCAAACCACGGGGTGGTTTTGGAGGCATCTCCCGGTGCTGCTGCACTGGGGTGCCCTGGCGCAGCTGGTGACGTTGCCCCTGGCTGTTGGGGTTGTAGGAGGGGACTGGTGGCTCCATCAGAGTAATTCAGGTTGGAAGGAACCTTCGAGTGCCTCTGGTCCAACCCCTACTCAAAGCAGGGTCAACCTCATGGGTAGGCAGGGTGGCTTCAGGTTTGTCCGGCTGCGTTTTGTGGGTCTCTAAGGACGGCGAGCCCAGCCCGGCCCCAGCACTGCCAAGGGCACCGTGTCCAAACCTCGCTGACGCCAAAGCCGCCCTCCTCCTCCAGCCCACCAGCATCACATGAGGTTGCTCAGCCAACGTTTGCTGTCGGTGACCCCGCGCTGGCCGTCCTCACCGCTTCGTCCTCAGCCCTGGTGCTGGCAGAGCATCACCGGGCTCGAGCGTGGGGCATTTGGCTCGCAGGAGGGTGCCAGCGGCACGGACTTCATGAAGAAGAAGGGAAAAAACCCCAACCTACCTCCTAAACCTTGCGCTTTTTCCCCTTTTTAAATTTTTTCTCCGCAAAGCGTGTCTTTCTGAGAGGTTTGGACTTGAGGTTTTCACCTCGTCATCCACCCAGTTCCCACCGATGTTCTGCCACAGCAGACATGGGTTGAGCCATGGCCAAGCAACCGGCAGCGCCCGCCTGCCCTCGCCAGGGTTTGGAGCCTGTTCTGCCAGCGCACGGTTGCGTACGGGCCCTCCAAAATGGTTCAAACCCAACTTTTTGGGCTCGTTTGAGCCAGGCAGTGCCTGGCCACTGGGAAAAAGCCGGAGTTTTGCAAAGCCGGCTCCCCGCCGTGCCAGTCAGCGCAGCCTCACCCAGCCTCTCCGGGATGCTCAGACTGCGGCGCTCGCAACGTCGAACAGATTTGTCTTGGCCTAAAAATACCGTAAACATTTTGGGCAGCGTTCTCTGTTCCCTTATGGTCCAAGATGCAAACACTCCCAAGCCGACACGTTACACACAGTCCTTGGCACCCAAAGAAAATACTGTGTTTGCACCACATGAAAAGCTGGATCTGCATCCAAAGCCAAGGAGAGGAACATCGGGAGCGGAAGGATATTGGTGGATGGCAAGGAAAAAAAAAAAAAAGAGCCCAAATGTACCGAGCTCGGCATGTCTTGCCGGCAGAGCCACCTCGGAGCAAAACCCACTGGGGTGCAGGCAGGTTCCGAGGCCGCTTGAGCATCCCCCCTCCAATTCTCATCTCGTCTTGGAGCAGGGTTAGGGCTGCGCTGGGATTTTTGTGGGTTTCTCTCCCAAATCCCCACC